AAGAAGTTTGACTATAGTGGTTTAGTGACACTTTTCGTCTAAAATAACAATGTTCTTTTTTTGAGCAATCTTGGATAAGATTAAGTTTATCATACCACTTTTTTCTTCAAATGGCTTGCAGTATTAAAAACTAGCATATCATATCAGTAGAAATTTACTTAAATATATAAAATATTTAATTTATGTAATCTTTATAAAATGAAGTTAAACCGTGTTCTCTGATGGAATAAAATAACATCACCACTGTCTCTTCCCAGATAACCCCGCCATTACTGGATGTGCATAATTATACTTGTTGCATATATGTAACATATACTAAAGTATATTATTTTATATATATTGCTATTTTACTTTTCTCCTTTTTTGGTTTTTCTCTCTAGATAGGTCAGTAGTTTGGCATATCTTATGCTCCTAGTTGAAAAGATCCTCTGGTCAACATATAGTACAGTATTTATAATAGTTCCCTTATCTGCTTAGGTATTGATTGTATTTATAAGAAATAATATTCCTGGACTCATAGATTGAATATAAGATTGCAAATAACTGGATCTTATATATAATGCTATATTCTTCATTCCTCTAAAAATAGGAGTTTAAACATTTTATGTGAGTATTAATAGTGCTCCATTTAGAAAAAATCCTTTTGTTTCTTTGGAATAGATACTGTGGGAGTTTTCTCATTTTAAAAATAACTACAAAATGAATGAATTGTCTCTTTTATTTCTATAATGAAAGTTTCAACTGGTGTAAAGTCAAACCAATAATGCTTGACTCAGAGGAACCTAAATGATTGCAGAGTATTAATTTAGTAAACGTAATTTCCCTTTTCCAGATTTAAAGTATCATTTCTTCCAAATACTGTTGAATACTCTCACTATTTAACTTATGACAAGTACTCTCATTGAATATTGTCAGTAATTCATGATGTAAAACTACATTCATTATGACTTTTAGCTTCAGAAACCTTTGTTTTCTTGTTTTATATTCATCTGAGGGTCTTGTTTGTTGTATTTTTAGCCAAGATACAAAACATGAAGTACATAATTATAAGATTTATTCAAAATGTTAATTATTTTTTCCTGAAATATTCTTTTAAGTGGTCCTTTTTAAAAAGAATTGATAACCAGAAATTTTTTAAATAGAAAAATGAATTTTATGACTAGAAGTTTTTTGACCTTCGTGATAATGTAATGGGTGTACCTCTTCACATAAAATAGTTTAGCAAAAATTATTTTCTAAAATCAAATTTTGTATTTATGTCCAAAGATATGAATGATATTTAATGATAAAATGCATATCTAATCTCTAGTTGCTCAAGAGTAACATTATTGGTCCTTTATATTTTTCAGCAACAAATAATATAGAGTGTATAGATGTCTTAATAGGTAAATTCAAGATTGCTGTAGTTTCATGGCTTTTTGAGTAATGTATCCTATATAATAAAAGCCTAATATGCTAAGTGTCCAGTCATCTGGTCGGCCGTTCAACCAATCAAAGCATAATATGCTAAGGCTGCTCAACTGCTCGCTATGACATGCACTGACTACCAGGGGGCAGACACTCTGACTGGTAGGTTAGCTTGCTGCTGGGGTCCAGCCAATCTGAACTGAGCAAGATGGGCTGGACACACCCTGGAACCCTCCAGCGGTCCCTCCCGGCTGGCCAACCTCCCACATCCCTCCCGGCCCCGATTGTGCACCGGTGGGGTCCCTTGGCCTGGCCTGCACCCTCTCACAATCCGTGACCCCTTTGGGGATGTTGGAGAGCTGGTTTCAGCCTGACAGCAGAATGACCAGTTACTATGATGTGCACTGACCTCCAGAGAGCAGACGTTCAATGCAGGAGTTGCCCCCTGGTGGTCAGTGTGCTCCCACAGGGGAGCACCACTCAGCCAGAACCGGGCTCACAGCTGGCAGGGCTGCAGCAGTGCTAAGGATGTCCAACTGATGGCTTAAGCCCGCTTCCCACCTAAGCTGTCAGTGGGACATCCCCCCAAGGGCTCCCAGACTGTGAGAGGGTGCAGGCCGGGCTGAGCCCCCCCCCCCAAGTGTACGAATTTTGTGCACCGGGCCTCTAGTTTTTATTATAAAGAACCACCAGCAAATTAATGCTAAAACCAGAAACATTGGCAAAGGCTGGATCATTGGTTCGGAGGAATGAGATGACATCATTCTTCTCTTCCTTGCACATATGTCCCTAGGATCATAGAGATGCTCAGGAGTTGTCATCTGAGGCAGCATACCATCAGTGGCTTTCTAAATCCTACTGTGTTACATCTAAGCTTATACCTTTTTTATTTTTTATTTTTTTAAACCTTTTTTTAAATTTAAGACTTTTCTTAATTTGACTCTATCTTGCTCAGAATTGAATCTTCCTTCCCTCTGCTCTCCATCTTGCATTCATATTGTGCTCATTGCTGCCTTTGCTCAAGTTCTGCTTTTCTCTTGACATACCTTTTCCTCTTTGTTCTTTGCTAAATCCTGCACATTTAGTTCAATGCCTCCCTCTTTCATGAGTCCTTTCTTTAACTTTGTGGTTAAGAGGTAAGAGCCCTACTCTGCCAGTTATTGCAGGCAAGTGACTTAATCCTCTGCACCTCAATCTCCCCACTTATGGAATGAGTATAATAATGGAATATACCTGAGATGAGCGTTTAAATAAGTTAACACAGATAAAGCATTGCCCAATATACCAGAAGTGCTATCTAAGTGTCAGCTAGTAGTAGTGGTAGTAGTAGTAGGACTCTCATTTATCTCCTGAATATTTATTGTATGTACCACATAAATTAACATGTAACTGTGAACTCTTGTATTTTTATTTTTTTGTCAAGTAGATTATAGCCAACGTGAGAAGAGGGGTGTTATCATTAATTATCCCCAAAGAACTGACCCATAATCGGGCTCACTAAATTCTTGAGGAATTGATTTTATATCTGCTAGAATGGTACTAGACACTTAATCCCTGCTCAGATGGAAAACTCTATGAAGGCCAGAGCTGCATTCTTTATGAGCATAAAGAATGTACATAGCTTCTACATGGAACACTAGGATCACCAGGACTCATTCTGTGCAGAGCTATTAGGGTATCATGTACACAAAAGTACTTAATAAATATTATTAGTAGTATTAATGGTAATAATGTTTATTCTGGCCCTGTTGTGGAATCTCTGTTCCCCTTATTCCTTTCATTTATTCATAGGGCACAGCAAGATTATAGAGGTGGAGTGGCCATCTGTTCTAGATCTAGTCTTGAATATGGAATTTTGCCCTGGGGTAAAATCAAGTGCTTTGAGCATCTGGGCTGGATATATGTGGCAGAGTTGAGGCTTTGAATTCTCCTACTAACTGAATAAAACACACAAGGGAAATTTCTAGAAGTATTTGCTCAATTTGATTGAGTCCTGATATAGGCTTGTTAATGGGCTTGTATGTGAGAGTCATATGCCAGATTTCATCTTCTCAATGGTTTGTGTTAGCTGTGAAATAAATATCAGCTAAAGAACAACATTTAGCCTGAAGCTTAAATCATTTAATTATCAATATGTACTTGCTTTAGTGAGATTTAGTAAGATGTTTTGGGCATATAAATTTCCTGCTTCTTTAGTGAGAACATTTGTGGAGCATTATAATTTTATTTTTACATGTATAATTGTTAATACTTTGGTGTACTGATCTAGTCTCTTACAACTTTTTTCTGTTCTTTTTTTCCAGCTTTATTGTCCAGCTTTATTGAGATATAATTGACATGTAACATTGTTTAAGTGTAAGGTATACAATGTGATGGTTTGATATAAGTATGTATTATGAAATGTTTACCACAATAAGTTTAGTTAACACATCCTTCACCTCATGTAATTACCACTTTATTGTTGTAATTATGGTGAGGATATTTAAATATACCCTCATAGCAGTT